GGGAAGACGGTGACGTGGCAGAGGTGGCGTGCACCGGGCCTCACCCTGGCGTGATGGCGGCCAGAACGGAGTTACCTCTGACGGAGCAGGACAAGGCCAGCGCCGACCCCACACCCAGGCTCGTGGCCAAATGAAGGCCCGAGGGGCGCGACGTGAGCAGAGGACAGCTGCACGGTGGACTGGGGCCTGGCCGTGCCGTGGACACAGCACCCTGACAGCACACACACGCTTCCTGACGCAGACCTGAGCATGAGGCAGCAGCCAGCAAGAACAGCCATGCCGCTATCACGCAGCCCTCCTAGATGGAACCTGCCCGTGCTGCGATCCTCACAGCGTGCAGTGGAGAAGACAGACACCCGGCCTTGCAGATGCCACTCCTTGCGCACTCTGGAAGCTCGCCGGAGCCTGCCAGTCTTCAGAAAGACCTGCCCAGTCCCACAAAGGTGCAATGGTATCTCCCAGGAGAAGGCATTGCTGACTGTGCATGTAGGGTCGGCTTGGGCACCACTCCCAATCTGCCGCAGGGACTCCCTGGCCGACCTGGCCCAGTGCAGCTTTTCTGTTGGGGGCAGAGCATGGCATGTTCCAGGGACCCAGTTACTTCTTGATCTGCTTTCTGCTTCCTCCCGCTCCCACCCCCAGTTCATTTGGTCATGTGGGATCCAGCTCCCTTAACCACTAGGCTATGGGTCCAGCCTGGAAGCAGGTTTTATGAAAGCATAAGGAAATTCCTGCAAGCCATTGTGTGCCCTGTTGAGATCTTTAGAGGATAGAGACACTGGCTTTTGTTGGGCTTTATTTGACTTCACAGCACATACCCAGCCCAACTATCCCCTCGTTACTCAGGAGGAGGCTTATAATCTGACACAGGTGCTGAAGCAGCTTTCCAATGTCGCTAGGTGAGACTGGGGAAGGATGAAGAGCGAGGCGAGACTGTACGTATGTGAGAAGTTTGCTCAACACAGATGAACTAAGCAGTGACTCGTAAAATGTAGAAGAAAGGGGAAGCCTTTTACATGTCCGATCGCCTGGATAGGAAGGAAGCGGGTGATGGAAAACAGAATGCAGCTCGCTTTCTTGGACTGGCTGACCGGTGGCATCATGAGCTTGCACACCAGATTTCATGGAGCCCAAGGCCATGGATCGCCGGACAGCTTTCTTGGCGAGCCATGTATAAAGCAGGCACACTGTGTCACTGTGTAGCGCACGGCTGGGACGCTGGCTTGCAGGCCAGACCGGGCCCACTGCCCGCTCCTGTAGTCTGAAGCACAGCTATGCTACCTGCCGTATTACCCCTGCTGCAGGGCACAGCGGTCACGTGGCCTGTAAAGCCTGAACTGTGTACTAAAGGCCCTTGGACAGAAAGTTTGCCAAACTCTCTGGCTTGGTGAGCTAACATCTAGACCTAGCCATCCCGTTTACTCCTGTAATCCTTGTGTGCATTCAGAAAAGTGAAATGAAGCCAAGAGCTTAGGGTTTTCCTCCGACTTTTAGGTCTGCAGCACCCAGACTTTAGCCACGCGGATCACTGGAGATGCAGATTCAGACCTGAGGTCAGAGCTGGGCTTTCCCGCCAGACGTTGCCCTTGGCCAGGGAGAGCATGGAGGAGACGGCTTTAAGTACTTCAGGAGCCGCCAGGCTCCCCTCGGAGCACACTGCGGAGCACACTGCGGAGCCCAGCCTGCCGTGAGGCGCATACTTTCTGTGTCTTTGTTTTTTGGAGAGATTTTTGCTATAGGGCGCGTGCGCTCGCCAGAAAGAGACAGAGAGACAGCGAGAAATCATCCCCCAGGGGGGATGGCCACGCCACAATCCCTTCTCCTCTCGGGATCTTGGGCACACACACACACGCCTGGCGTGAGTTTAAGCCACTGGGTCCGGGACTTGAACCATGGTCGACTACGTGGGAGTCCAGCGACATAGCCATTACGCTAACTGCTGGTCCCCTTCCCTCGTCTTCTCAGAAGTGGTACACAGAAGGTTTTCAGTGTCTGTTCTTTCCTGAAATGGTCTCTTAAACAGTCGTGGTGTCACTCACGTCCCCAGGGTGACCACCCGCTTGTGCTCACTCCAAAATGCCGTGCATCACAGATAACCCTGGGTACTTTAAGAACCCAGTAACATGTCCCTGCAGCCCCGCCGTGAGCCAGGAGCAGCCGGACTCGCCAGACACCCTTCTGTCCCTGCTTCACGGAGCTGAACGGGCTTCCTGCACGGCACGGACCGCTCTGCATCGGCACCTGGAGCTGAAGCTGCGGCAGCTCTCCAGGGGTCCCTTAATTCCCAAGGGTTGCAAGCTGCTTGCTGGTGGCGGCGGACTCACCCTCCTGGGCCCCCCTAGCGTGCCCCTGACCCAAGGTCAGGCTCCTACTGCAGCAGCCTCGGGTCCACCGTGAGCTCCGGAATGTCATGGTCTCCCCACTTCCTCCTCTGCTGAACGTCTGCTAACAGCAAGCTCTGGGCTGTCCTGGGCGCCAGTGTACACGCTGGCCGGTGGCCGGTGACCAGCGACAGCAGGCGGAGCTGCTCTGTCTCCAGGTGGCGGTGCATGCCCCCTTGCTGGCTGGTGTCTGCCAGGGCATCTCCTGCGTGCCCGGTGGCCCCACACTGTGGCCTCTGAGCCCCTAATGTAACCACGGCCAGGCTGGGGCTGGGTCTGGCACAGCCAGCCCTGGGAGGCAGTAAAGTGGTGGCCCGTCAGGAAGGCTGCTGGTCTTTTGTCCGGGGTGGAAATCCTCTGGTGGTGGGAAAGCACGGGCCGTCCCCCACGGGCCGTCCCCCACGGGCCGTCCACCACGGGTCGTCCCCCTGCTTCTTCACCCAGACGCCCTCTGGGCTGAGGCTGTGAGGGAGCAGAGGGGCTGGCCGTGCAGCAGGGCCTCACACACAGCCTCTAATGCCAGCTGCCAGGCAGCCTGGATGGAGGGCACATGTGAGGGCCCCTGCTCAGAGGTTGTCCTCACCACTGAGGCCTCCTTCCAGGCTGTGGCAGGAAGCCAGTGCAGACGATATTCGAGGGGTTTCTTGCTACCTCCTGGCAGTCCCACTTCCTCCTTGGGCATCCTCTGGATGGACATCCCCTGGATGGGCGTCCCCTGGATGGGCGTCCCCTGGATGGACATCCTCTGATGAGCACCCCTGGATGGGCATCCCCCTGGATGGACGTCCCCTGATGAGCACCCCTGGATGGGCGTCCCCTGGATGGGCATCCCCTGGAAGGGTGTGCAGCACTTGAGGGGCCCAGCCCCTCCTGCCCAGGTGGGCTCCCGGCAGCAAACGCTCCTGGGCCTGGGTGAGGGGCATGCGGGCAGGAGCAGAGTGGGAAGCTCCCGGGGCCCTCCCTGTGCCACCACATGCCGTGTGTCCCCCGTGGTTGGTTGGCTCACCCACTTAGGGGACGTGGAAGCCTCTGGAGAAGGAACTGCTACGCCCCTGGTGGCTCCTGAGCGGGGCTAGCACTCCCTGCCTCCCATGGTCTGCCGGGCTCTCTGGGGCTCTTGCCTATCTCAGAACCTGGAGGCAAGGCCCGGGAGAGTGCCATTGAGTACTAGGGCCAGGGGGTGGCTGGCACTCCATGGCAGAGGCCCAGGCTCCCACGTGGCCTCTGCCACAACCCTGTGCAAGAATATTCCCCCAACTAGCTGCTTAAGATTTCGGCTGTGGGACCAGCAGTTGGCGTAATAGTGACATCACTGGACTCCCACGTAGTCGGCCGCGGTTCGAGTCCCGGATCTGGTGGCTTAAACTCATGCTGGGCACGTGTGCATGCCCAAGATCCCGAGAGGAGAATGGAGGAGAAGGGACTGCGGCGTGGCCATGCCCCCTGGGGGGTGATTTCTTGCTCTCTGTCTCTGTCTTTCTGATGAGTGCACACGCCCTATAGCGAAAACCTCTCCAAATAATAAATAAAGACTTTGGCCGTGAGGGGCCACCCGGTCCACAGGCTCAGCTCTGAGTTCGGGTCCTGCGGCTTCCGGCG